AGAGGGGCCACTGCTGGGTCGCGCTGGAACCCCGGGACGCAGGCTTTTCTCAGCCTGGCGTCCGGGGAGACGCCCGGCAGCTTCCGCGTCGTTGGGCATCCGGGAGTCAGCCCCGACACCCCACCGGGAGTTTCCTGAAGGTTCTGTGTTCTTTGTCGGAGCCACTAAATGCGGCTCCCCGGGCTCCGGGAGCTGAACCCAAAGAATTAGTCTGACGTCCTGCAGTCCGGAGAGGACCTGGAGGTTACAGCAGGTGGATGAGAGACAGGGAGAATGCAGGGATGCCTGGGGAATCGCTGAGCGGTCCTGCTGGGAGTCTGGGCCCTAAACTGGCTGCGGGCAGGAGTGAGGAAGATTTAATGCTTAATGGGACTCTATGCTTTAGAGAACGCTGTCTCCAGGCTACTTCGTGGTCCTCAGCAGTGGCTTTCAAACACCTAGTTCAAACGAGTTAAACCATACAGATTTGTAGTAATAAGCCACAAGCTTCATAACTAATACCAGTGGATATTAGTTACGAATTAGATCTCCAATTCGTTTTTAAACCCTGAGCTTTTCAGACTTGACACTTACTGAATGTCTATATGAACTGACATCAAGCTACAGTTCTAGCGGAAAGGCCAGAATCCTAGCATAAATTCCTTGTCCACACCTTTACTTGTGCATGCACACGAACTGAAGATACATTTTGGTAAGTCGTACAATTTTCTAGTTTGCACCCTCCCAACTAGAACAAACATGAAACTATGTACACTACTTGCTTAGTGGCCAGTTATTAACTGTCCCTGTATTCAGTTAAGCCTGTTTTATTGTTTTATTCCACCTTAATGAAAAGTCAGCTTTATATTCTACTCCAGATTCAGATGCACATCTTATGTACACAAACACATGGGTATTTAACAGAACTCATCCGTGCCAGACACATAGCAGTGCGTGTAGTTTGCTGTACCCAGGAGGCTAAGGCGGGAAAACCAATTTCTACACCAACATGGGTTGCAGTACTTAATGTCAAGACACCATTGGGCTGGTGAGGCAGATGGCTCAGTGAGCACTCAAGAGTGGGATTTCAGACCTGTTACCAACCCTAGCTCAAACCCAGCATTTTACTGTTGCCTCAGCCTAAGGGATGGAGTTCCAGATCTGAAGCATCCCCAGCAGTAGTAGCCACTAGCCTAGATATCCAAAAAAAGCCCAGAGACCAGTTATAGATATCAAGGTTCAACTGTACAGAGTTGGTATACTAATCTTGGAATATATCCCCCATGGATAAAGGGAACTACTCTTAAAAAAAGAAAAGATTGGTGGCACATCTTTAATCCCAGCACATCTCTGCATCCAAGGCCAGCCTGGGCTGCAAGGTGAGACTTAGTTTTCGAAGTATACAAAATAAATTCAGACAGACAATTTTAACAGAAGTAAGACTTTATTCTTTATTTCCATATTTCTCAAATTAAACTGGCTGAGTAGGTTGCTCTGAGGGATCAGTCAAACAGACCAAATCCCATATCCTCATCTGATTCCTCCGACTCTTCCTTGGCTTCAGCCTGGGCTGGGGCAGCAGCCACAAATGCAGATGGATCAGCCAAGAAGGCCTTGACCTTTTCAGCAAGTGGGGCCAATGTCATCTTCCAAGATGGATCAGCCAAGAAGGCCTTGACCTTGAAGAAAGAGATGGCCAATGTCATCTTCCACTCTCATACACCACCCACACCCTTCCTGCTGTTGTGCAGCTCCTGCAGCTCCCACATGTGTACAAGCAGTTACCCCATCAGGAGATCTGAAGTAGAGTGTGTTGGGAGGGGCACTGGGGTTTGACATTTTTAATGTGAGAATTTGCATACCTTTGTTCTTCATCTTTAAAAATCCATGTTTTCCCTTTTTGTTTTTGGTTTTTTTGAGACAGTTTCTCTGTGGCTTTGGATGCTGTCCTGGTAACTAGCTCTTGTAGACCAGGCTGGTCTCGAACTCACAGAGATCCACCTGCGTCTGCCTCCTGAGTGCTGGGATTAAAGGCGTGCGCCACCAATGCCTGGCTTCCTTTTTTATTAAGAAAGGACCTCACTATGTATATGTAGCTCAGGCAGGGCAGGTTCAAACTCACAGTAATGATAGGGCTATAGGAATTAATTCCACATCCTGCCTCTTACAAAAAAATATACTCAGGCATACAGTGGTGGACCACACTTAATCCCAGCACTGAGATAGAGGCAAGTGCATCCCTTGAGGCCAACCTAATAGTTCCAGGCCAGCCAGAGCTATACAGAGACCAAGTCCCCATCCAGCAATGTACTGGGGATCTATTAATAATACCTCTGTTGGTAGACTGCATAGCAGCAAAGCCCAGACCTGGTGGTGCATATACCTACAATCAAGGTCACCCACTACACAGCTTAAAATCAGCTCTGGCTACTTTCAACTGTCTCAAAGAGTACCCCTTGTCTTAAAGAATGGAGTATTAATTCACCAACTCAGCAGCCTGCTGTTTGTTACCCTGATGTCATTCAAGCCACTATGGTCCTAGAAGAATATCTTTTACCTTTTCAGCAAGTGGGAAGGTGTAATCAGTCTCCACAGACAAAGCCAGGACCCGCTTGTAACCATTGATGATAGAGTGTGGCACTGAGGCAACAGTCGGGTAACCAATCTGCAGACAAACACTGGCAACATTTCGGACACCCTGCATGGGAGGAGAAACAAATGCCAATGTTTAAACTCACACCCCTGGTCTCCAAGCCTTCTCACATCAGATACTCCTGGCAGACCAGACGACCCATCAGTTTACCCTTACTCCAAACCTGGGTGTTCCACACACATTTTCTTGAAAATCTAAGCTGTTATCTATTTCTAGATGTAATTTGCCAATTATGAAACTTCTTATAAGCAGAGCTACTCATAGCCCACTGCAGACATCAGAATCCAGATTCAAGTCTTTACATGTAAAATGTTTTGGTCTTTCATAGGTCTACACAACTTCCTTCAGACCTATGAACGCTGTTACTTCCAACTCACAATGCAATGGAAATGCTGTAAGACCTGCTCAGTACATCTTTCAAATATGATTGGGTATAGGCATGGTAGGAGTTGGACGGAGTAGAAACTATAAATACCAAACTCTCAAAAAAATTTAATAAGAATGTAATTTCAGTATGTCGTTCACAAAAGGAAAAAAGTCATTAAATGAGAACTTGATAGCAAAACCAGGTAAAACACCCTCAGAATAAAATACCTTTTTAAGAAAAAGGTAAGACAGGCAGTGGTGGCAGACACCTTTTGATTACTTAGAAGGCAGAGGCGGTTGGATATGAGTTTTTGGCCAGTCTGGTCTACAGAGTTCTAGGTCACACAGAGAAACCTTGTCTCGAAAAAACAACAGTGCTGTACATGTTTGAGACAGGGTGTCTCTTAAATGGACCTGTTGGTCCTGGAACTCACTATGTAGGCCAGGATAGCCTTAAACTCTCAAGAGATGGCCAGTCTCCTCTTAAAGATGCAGGCCACCATACCCAGCTGTATTACAGGCTATAAATAAGCACACAATTCACTGAAACCCCCCCACACACTTTACAGTCACTCCTGTTTTTTTTTTTCGGGGCGGGGTGGGGTTTTACAGTTTTTTGAGACAGGCTTGCTCTGTATTGTTTTGGAGTCTGTCCTAGAACTCATTCGGTAGAGCAGGCTGGCCTTGAACTCACAGAAATCCACCTGCCTCCACCCAAAGCGTGTGCCACCAACACCCAGCTGTTGCTCCTGGTTTTTACAGATGAGAAAATGAACAGGCTGAAGACGGTTGGCATACACTTGTACCTGCCATGCTCCCAGCATTTGGGGTTAGGAGCTGGTAGCATACCTCTAGGAAGCGTGAGTGCAAAGTCTGCTCTGTGATGTCAAGCACTTCTGGGTTGTAAATGCTGCCATTGTCAAACACCTGCTGGATGATCAGCCCAAAGGAGAAGGGGGAGATGTTGAGCATGTTCAGCAGTGTGGCTTCACTGGCTCCTACTTTGTCTCCAGTTTTTATCAGCTGCACATCACTCTAAAGAACAAGAAAACATCAGGCAGTTACCATCTGGACATAAAATAGGCCCACAGCCTCCAAGGGACCAACCCTCTCAAATGCCAAGCTACCACTGCAAGCCTGGCCTACTCACTAGAATTTCAATGGTGCCCCTGGAGATTTTAGTGGTGATGCCCAAAGCCTGGAAGAAAGAGGTCTTCTCGGGCCCCAGACCAGTGTTCTGGGCTGGCACAGTGACCTCACATGGGGCGATGGCACCAGCACGGGCAGCAGCCGGCACCTGAACAGAACAAAGGTATGAACAGTGAGAAACCGATAAACATGGGGATGGTTAAATTCTGCTTCCACTCTTCACCCAGTCTGATTCCCCCCTTACCTTATTGGCCAGCAGCATGTCCCTAATTTCAGTGAGGTCCTCCTTGGTGAACACAAAGCCCACATTCCCCCGGATGTGGGGCAGCAGCTTCTCCAGAGCTGGGTTGTTCTCCAGGTGCCCCCGGATGGCCTTGCGCATCATGGTGTTTTTGCCCATCAGCACCACAGCCTTCCCTTGAAGGGACATGCGGATCTGCTGCATCTGCTTTGAGCCCACATTGTCTGCTCCCACAATAAAGCATTTTGGGTAATCATCCAAAAGTTGCTACAAAACAAGCCAGGAAATCAAGTTGAAACCAAAAAACAGCAGAAGCCCCGTCAGTGTTCTTTCATGCTGTCAAAGCTATGACACTTCATTAAGAGTCAGCCACCTGAGCTTAACATTATTATGAACGAAATAAATTACATTTGAGAGGCAGCCAAAAATTACCTCTCTGCTGAGTGTGATGGCACAAACCTGTCAGGCCGGTTGAGGCCTAATTGCAAATTCTTGGCCAGCCTGAGCTACATGGGGAAGCCCTAACTCAAAAAAAAAAAAAAATGTGTTTTTGAAGTAAGGAATACTTGGTTGACTAAAATGACACCGATCAAGGTAAGAGATGGCAAGAGATGGCGTTACAGCACAGAAAAACTATGGCAGAGCTGACAAGGGAATTTAAGTTGGGAATATGTAAGTTGCCATACCCAATTCTGTGTCTAAAACTCACAATGGTAATCAAAGGAAACTAAACCAGTCTAATGCCTACCAAGGCTAGCAGCAGATCTCATTAACAACCGCTTCAGGGCTGGAGAGATGGCTCAGAGGTTAAGACCACTGACTGCTCTTCCAGAGTTCAATTCCCAGCGACCACATGGTGGCCGTCTACAATCCAATCTGGTGCCCTCTTCTGGCATGTAGGCAGAACACTGTATATGTAATAAGTAAATTAAACTTTAAAAAAGAAGAAAAAAAAAACAGCTTAAAAGGCCTTTTGTAGTAAGTCACTACACACCAGCTTGACTGGTAGGTGTCTGGTTTGCTACAACATGCCTCCTCCTTACAGTGAGTCACTCCTGTCTCAGCCCTTTGCAGACGATAGGGGTTCTACTGGATGAACCCCTCGGTGAAGTAATTCTGCAACAGGAGAACCTACATCCGGAACCTGAGGTTAAATCCGTCCTCTAGATAACACAATTCAGGGAAAAGCGCCTGGCAGGTGGCTGCCCCCAAGAGCCCGGGGCGGAAGCGGCTCTCCCACGACCCGCTCCGCACTTACGATGATCTTAAGGAAGTAGTTGGACTTCCAGGTCGCCCTGTCTTCCCTGGGCATCACGGCGGTGCGTCAGGGATTGCCACGCAGGGTTTAAAGACGATGTCACTAGGGAGAGAAGGGCAGTGTAAGCCTGGCCACCTCGACACCAGTCTCCGGCCTGAGGCCTAGGCGGCCGCGCGGGAGCTGGGCCCGGAGGGGACGCCGCCAACAGCGCGAGTGAGGCCGCAGGCAGGACGGGGCGGCCGGGCCCCCGCCCCCCCCCCCCCGTCCCGAGTCCACCGTCCCGTCCCCGACCCCAGAGTCCCCACGCGCCTGACCCCCATCATCCCTCACAGATAAACGTAAGCCCAACCTCTAATGAGGACGCCTGGCGAGAGGAGGCCCGCGCGCCCGCGTGCGCCTTTTATATGGGCGGCCTGGTTATCCGATGACGACATCCATACCTATTGGCTGGGGCCATCAACCGTCCCGCCTCACCAAATCAATGTAGGCAGCCATTGGGTGATACCGCTGCCACTCCAGCAAGTAGGGTGAGTAAGGACACTGCACCCTGCTGCATTAGAGAAGCGCTTCGGGAGCTGCTGCCCTCTGCTGGGCTGGAGCCGCCTTGCAGCGTCACCGAGCCAGTACAGCAAATTGACAATTCTGCCTTTCAAAACCTCCGTCCTTATTTGCACAAAACATATCAAGTAAAACCTCTAAGCCTTAAACCCAGATTATGTACAAGGTCCTACACGACCGCTCCCGCCTTCTCCCTGCGATCCTGTCTCTTGCTTTTCTACTGAAACGTATGTCTCCAGCCTGATGTCTGTTTTTCCAGAGTGTGCCCTTGTTTCAGGGCTTTTGCCAAACTTTTCCATCTTCCTGAAATGGTGCTGGCCAGTATCTGCCTGAGAAACTCATCTACCTCCTCCAAATCCTGCTGCAAACGAGACTTGCCCTGAGTCCTGATTTCAAATTTTAAGAGAAAGGGGGATCAAACCTACTGTTCACTTCCCTGCCTTCTCACTGTATAGTTTATCACATTATATTCATCAGCCTCTCCCTGCAGGAATGGAAGCCTCATAAAGGCAGACATTTTGTCCTGTGCCTCCAGACATTAGGTATATAAGTGTTTGTTGGATGGGAGACCACAGGGTGGCCAGATGACCTGGATCCATAACTTGGTTCTGCCACTTTGCTGGCCATCTATCTGCCTTCCCTCCTCATTTGTAACAGGAGGTTCTTATACCATTGCTGGGATACAGGAGAAAATCAATACATTAGCTTCTTTTATTATATACATTCATTCAACATTTATTGGGATAATTGTTTTGCTTTATCTTTGACAGAGTCTGACTCTGTAGCCTGACCCAGCCTTCCACTGATCCTCCTGCCCCAAGCTCCCCAGTGACCGCACAGGCACAAAGCTCAAGACATAGTTTTTAAACGCAAGATCCTAAGACTGAGGGGGGGAGGGGCTTTTCCTTCCCATCTCCACTACTTCCCTGAGCTGATTGGAAATCTTCAGTGAGTGTATCTAGGCCACATGTGGCCAACAAACATTTGCTACAAATGTTTCTGCTTCTTGAAATGTTCCCCTCGGCTAGCCTTGGGGGGAGGGGGGTGGTTGCCGGGTTGATATCCAGTCCTGCCAGTTTAGTCCTGCTTTCGCAGGTATGAGGCCATCTTTTCACACTGCAGTTCCCAGACCCAACAACAGCCCAGGAGCTTCACAAACACAGACATCCACGGCCCCTAGCCAGGAAGAGTGTACTGGAGTAGGACCCAGGGTTTTTGTTTTGTTTTGTTTTTAAGGTTTTGTGTATTTGTGAGTTTGTGTGTGAGCCCGTGTAAATGTAAGCCACATGAGTGAAAGTGTCCACAGAGGTCAGAGCCTCTAGAGCTCCAGGTGTTTTGTGAGCTGTCAGCCATTGACACTGGGAACTGAACTCAGGGCCTTCGAAGAGTGAAGAGTGCACTTGTTCTTAACTGCTGAGTCAGCTCTCCAGACCCATGAATAAATATCTATGGAGATATAAATAAACGTGTGGGGGGGGGCTGTACTGAACCCAGGGCCTTGTTCATGCTAGGCAAGCAGTATACTTGTAGTTTTGAAGAGCAGCCCAGTTTGAGAACCACTGGCATCACTGACTGCTGAGGTCGCTCTTTAATGACAGTTTTTGCAAACTCAGCACTGTGCTAAGTACTTGTGCATGGTCCTGATGTTACTGTCCCCCTCAACCCTGAGGTGTAGTATCTTAATGAGAAAAGTCCCAAAGGTTAAACTGTCTGGTATTGCAGAAGTAGGACCTAGGAACAGGTTCAAAGCTCATGGGCCTCACTGTGCTACAGGCAACCAAACCCTACATCTGTTCTTCTCTAAATGCATCTTTCCAGGTGTATACAAATGACATTTCCAAGGACATGCTGGCCCTGACAATATAAATACTGTCTCTAACTGTGGTATATCAATAAACATTGTGCCATGGAGCCATTAGAAATGCTGCAAATCTATATCCAGCGGCATGGGAAAGTATCCGTAACGCATTACTGAGAAGGCCAATCACATTTCTGTAAGGAAGTATCTAGCAAGGGTAGGAAAAATAGGCCAAGTCTTTATCTCTGAGTGGGTGTTGAAGGTCACAGTAAGCACAGCAACTCACAACGGCTACTTCCAAGCTCACAACGATAGAGTCAACATTCGGAATAGTATTTACTCTACTGCCTAGAAACTGATCTAGTCGGGCTTTGGTGGCACCCACCTTTAATCCCAGCACTGGGGAGGCAGAGGCAGCTTATCACAAATGAAACCATCCAGTTTGGGGGCCCAGAGATCTGACAAGAGAAATCAAGCATGTATGAACATGACCACAAGGAGGCAGTAGAGGCTGACCAGCAGCAGGAAGTCTGTGGCATTCCATAGAGAATCAACCAAGGTGTTGTCCCGGGGCCTGGTCATTTCCTTTCTCCTTCATCAGTAGCTGGAAGGCCACCCACAGGCCAATGGGAGACACCCTCAGTGCATCCACTTGACAGCCCCAGAACAGGACCCGCCTCTGTTGGCCCAGTAAATGCCCCCTAGTCCAGGAAAGCTCATGCTGGAGCCAGGAGAACCCAGGGCACAGGCAAGCTCCCAGGATCCCATTCTCTGGCTTTTGCAACCTCCAGGAAGGGAAAGTCAATGATCTGCCTTCTTTCTGTGACTCTTCTGGGTCTAGAGAGATTTCAGTTTCTCCGCTGTGGCAACTAGGTCAAATGTCCAAGAGACAGCATCAGCACAAGTGAAAATAATGGCAAACTTTATTGGCATAAATCACAGGAATTGAAATGGAAAAAGCCAGGTTAGGAGTTTATAGGTAAAAAGTCAAATGATCACACATCCATTGACCCAGAGAATGGCCTTCCAGATACCCCAGTCTCTTCTTGGAGAGGGGCCTGGAACGGGTCACTGTAAACAGAGCAGTAAAGGCCTGTGAGTGGCAGTGCTGTGTCAGACCTCTGGAGCGCCAAGCTCACCTTCCGGGACCAGGGCTGCTAGCTTAGCCCTGACCAAGGATTCTTGTCTGGGATCCCATCACAGGGGGCCTCTACTAGGAAGGTGATGTAATGTCTGGGTCCCCTGCCTCTGGACCCTTCTGGTGTGCGTGCCTGTTCCAGGGCTGGCTGCTCCCACTCCATCCTTTGGAATGGGAGCTATGGAGCCTTCCATAGCTCTAACAGGATCTTGTCCCTCTATTCCAAATCCTACCAGGCTCTCTTCACCAACTTAGGGCATTCTTCCCAGGACCCCCATCCCCCCACAAGCATGAATCCCATCTGTGAGAGGCAGCAAACTTTGCTCCAATCACCAGGAAGTTTGAGGAAGTGATACACCCAGTAGGACCGAGTCCAGAGACCCTTATGGTTCTTCCTGGTCAAAATCAGACCCCAGCTTTCCTGAGAAGGCGGAAGGAGCACGGAGAAGCAACGAGGTGGCTAAGTAAGTGTCCAATGGGCTCTCCTTGTTGCCAGAAAGTTCATGAGGAGCAGAGACTGGCTCCTGATGGCTTGCTCAGGCAGGAAGCAGACCCCAAATATATACTTTCCCCTTTGCCTCCCTTGGGAACAGGACACAGGAGGTTCAAAATTCCAGGTCCAAAAGGGCTGGAGACCCTCAGACCAGTTCTTAATGAAGAGCCTGTTGGCCTGGGCAATAAGGGAAGTTTGGAAATACAGCAGTTTAAAACAGTCCTGGGGAGCTGTGAAGTTACAGAACAGGGTCTCAACTGGCTTGTGCTAAGAAACAAAATAAAATACAAATTGTTTACCCATCCCAATCCCTCAGTACAAAGCAAAGTCCATACCAAAGCCGAGGCCACTGGCAGGACCAGTGACGGTGAACAAAGTCAAGAATACAAAAGGGGACGTTCTTCAAATCTCTTCAAAATCATCTTGTAGAGAGAAGTAAAAGCAACTTGAGCAATACGAAGTCGAACCTCAGTGTAGAAATCTATCAAAATTGATACAGTGTTGAGGCACGGGTGGCCATCCCCACCTCACGCCATCCCCAGAGATGGAGATGTGGCTACATAAAACATTATTGCTGGAGAAGCCTCTCTCGGTGAACCCGGGGCAGTCACCCAGATCCTGGGAGACTGGACAGTGGAACCCAAAGTGCCTTAGGTGGCCTGTGGGTGAGTTTATGCTGGCATTGTCTAGAGGGGGCCCGGAGTCCCCAGTACACTCAGGGTAATTAGGGTGAGAGAAATAAGGATAAAAAGAGCCCCTGGCTGACCCTCGCTGCCCTCCCACTCTGACTCCACACTGAACGGTGACAGTGAGAAGCTCTAGGGTGGGTGGGGTGCTGGCTCATGAGGACACACTTAGGGACTACTGGGCCCCAGACTCCACCACCGGGGAGGAAGAAGTGCACAGAGCCCAGGAGAGCTGAAGAAGGGGAAGGAGGCCCCTGAAACTCTGTGGGGTGAGGATCACGCAGGACCTCCACAGTCCTGTCCTGCTCCTGCCACGGACAAGCTTCCAGTTTCTGTCGGATCGGCCCTTCACCCCTGGGCGAGGTCCTTGGGTCACAGTAGCAGTAGGTGGTGCTGGCTGGGGAGGGGTGGGTGATGGGAGGGACCTAGCAGAAGAGCTTCAGGAAGCAGCTCTGGCAGTAGGGCTTGTCATTCTGCTCCTTGAAGGTGCCCTTGTTGAGCTGCTTGAGGCAAAAGGCACAGACAAAGTGCTCCGGGTGGAACTTCTTGGCCATGGCGGTGATGCAGCGGCCAGTAATGGGCTTCTGGCAACCAGAGCACAGGGAGCCTCGCCGCTCGTGGTAGTGGACCTCACAGTATGGCTGCCCATCGTGCTCAAAGAAGCTACCATTGACGAAAGGCGTGAAGCATTCCTGCCAGGCAGAAGAGGGAAAAGGCTCAAGAGCTGTCCTGGGCAGGGCTCAGAGGACCATCACCTCTGTGGTGGCCCCTGTCTACTTATCATTTCCTATGAGTTAGGCTAAATACTTAATTTTCCCCTGGAGGAGGAAAAGGGATGTAAGTGAGGTGACCTAATCAAGGTCACAACTAAACTGTGCAGCCTGCATTCAAACAGAGCTGAGCGTTCTGGATTCAAGCAGATGGCTGGAAAGCTGTTGCCAGAAATGGGACCAGGCAGGGCGGGAGAAGGGATGGGAAGGAAGCCTGAGCTGAAATTCTGCATCCTGGATTTCCATTTGGAGATTAGTGTGCACGCACAGGTATGACAGGCACAGGCAGCAGCCAAGAGTTTCCTGGGGTTACTTGTCCACCAGCCCTTGCTGGGGCCCAGTCATAGCTTTGGGGCTCCCTGTCCACTTCTATTGAGCCCCAGTCCCGCGGCCTCCACAGCTCTAGCGCACTGGGCACCTCTAACTTGCTCGTTGTCTTGAAGAAGCACACACAATACACTCCACCTCACCCCCCACCCCTACTCACTCCCTGAGAGCCCCACCTTCTCCCGAGACCTGCTCCCAGACCTGCCTTACCCTGCACACAAAGCATTCTGGGTGCCAGAGTGTGTTGAGGGCTGAAATGTAGTTCTCCAGGATGGCGCGGGCACAGCCGCCACACTTGGGCGCAAACATGTCGAAGTAATCCTTCCGACAGTAGGCTTTGCCGTCCTTCTCATGGAACCCTGAGGGTCAGGGGGTGTAGAGGTAGATTTGGGGCCTCTAGACATGGAGCCACCCTGATTCCACCATTGATTGTCAGCTCAGCCCACCACCCTCTGGGACATCCCAGAGAGTGACAGGCATGCCTTCCAGCATAGCCATACCTTCTGGACCGAAGAAGGCTCCGCACTGAGCACAGAAGAAGTGTTCCGGGTGCCATGTCCGGTCAAGTGCTGTCACTACTTTCTGTGAAAGCAGAAAAAGGGATCATGGGTAAGGTTCTCCCTCCCAACCTCAGCCCTGCTCACAGCCAGGGAACTGTAAATGCTAAGTATTTAGAGCTGCTGAAGTATAACACACACACACACACACACACACACACACACACACACACTTCTTCAAACCTCGTGGGCTCCAAGTCCATGCTTTTTATTGTGACCCCTGCTCCAGGGCCTCTCCCTAACATTACACATTTACACATTGTGGAAAGTGAGACAGCTGGCACCCAGCCCACTATCTATGGGGCTCCTAATCCTCTGCAGCTGAACTCGAGGACTGGGAGGTGGGTGGGAGCTAGAGCACCAAGGCTGCTAGGACTCAGCAGGGACCTATCACTTCCTGTCTGTGTGAGCCTTGGGGCTGACACTTCTCGGAACAGAAGACTGAGGGTTACAGTGGAGATGAAACTGAGACCATGGCTGGAGCCCAGACTGACAGCCCCGAGGCCAGAGCCTACCACCCACATGTGCACACTCACATCCAGGATGGGCCCGTTACAGTAGTAACAGCGGGGGGAGAAGAGGCTGTGGTAGTCCTTTTCACAGTAAGGCTGTCCGTCCCGCTCGAAGAAGTTCCGTGATCCGATCTCTTCCTGGCAGTGGGTGCAGACAAAGTGCTCGGGGTGCCATGTCTTCCCCATGGCAGTCACAACCTGAGAAGACAGACACAAAGTGACTCACGGTGAGGACAGGAGCAAAGGTCCCAGTGCCAGTAGGTGCCCTGCTTCTTACCTGCCCAGCGATGGGCTTCTTGCAGGCCCCACAGACCCCTTTGGCCACCGTGGCGACTCCCAGCTTGTTCAGGTCAGACTGCAGACTTCCCAACATGCTGTCGAGCTGGCTCCCAGGCTTTGAGAGTCCCCCAGGGGGTGGGCTGCTCCCAGTTTTCCCCTGGGCCATGAACTGTGGGCACAGAGAAGGCCTATAAGATTTCCAGGGCCTGGGGTGGGCAACTCACGGCATAACACCCATGAGGCTTTGCATCCTGAACAGATGGGCTGACTGAGGCAAAAGGCAGTGTCCTCTGGGGGTAGGGGAGTGATATCAGCAGGCAGTCCTAGGGTCAAGGAGGGCTTCTAGCACCCAGCTGTACGACCAAGCCCAGGGAAAACATGCCAAGTAAGAACTCAGCCCCCAGCCCGAGCACTGACCCCTCCCTCGTCCTGCCCTTCAGGGCTGCTCTGCCTGCTGCTGGGGGGCCAGCCGGCTGCCCCCAACGGCCGCTCTCCATCCACTCTCTGTTCCAGGCCGTGCATCTTAGATGGGAAAGAAAGGAGGAGAAGACACTGTTTAGAAACTAAGATAAAGAGGCCTCGTCACTGGATTGTTTCACACAGGGATCACAGGATAAGAG